AGGACTGAAGAATATTCTGAATATATTCCTGAAAAAAGTACAATTTCTAAACAGTTTTAAAATAAATTTTTTTAAAGTGAACCTTTTATTTTTTGACCAGCAAGCAGAATTACTGCCAAATATGGGTCGGTTAGTACAGGGCAGCTGGCTTATTCTAAGTCTCAGCAATTCAAGCCAATAAAAAAGATTTGATGCAATTTTAAAGCTCAAGTATGGCGGGAGAGGCATAAAAGTTTTATAATCTATTTTTATTGGTGATAGTAGGAGGATTGAACGAGAAAAGGCAACGGGGGAAATACAAAACAAAATTATCTCTAGAACAGCTTATTTCTTGCAGAGTTTGTAGATGAGGATCAAAGTAGCTTGAAAAAAGTTGGTAAGATAAGTGGTAAGCGCAGTATACCATAAAGTGGCTGGCGAACGTTTACATCAGCATAAGCAAAAGAAGAAAATAAAAGAAGATGCTCTTCAGTTCAAGGCGGGGCGTTATCCTCCACCAAAGGAAACTAGCTCTATCAATTGATATACGCCATCTTTTTTTTTAGCAGCGCTCGTCAATAAAAAAGTTGCACAATTTTTTTCCAGGAGGAACTGTGGAAATTTCTCAATCAATTTTCAATGCCATGATTGAACATTCAGATCGAATAGCACGGGAAGAAGCTAAGGCAGTTTTTCTTCTCTGTCTACGTAATTCTATGAGTAACTATTCTTCAATTGTATACTGAATAATTACAAAAATAAACTTTATTTCTTTTGCTTTTTTTCGGTTTTTGCGGCATATTTGGTTAAGCTCTGTTAAAGTCACTAAGAAAAATTAACAGTGAAGGATGATAATTTGTGCAATTTGATAATGATAATTTTATGATGATAATTTTAGGAAAGGCAAGAGAAGATAATCAATGAATGTAAGTTTCTCATAAAATTCTACTTCGTAGTTTGATGCAGATGGAAAATGGAAGAAGGAATATTATTCTGCAATGTCTGTTTTGTATTTAGGGATGATCATTTCTGGATGTGCTGGAGGAATTGCGCTATTGTTTTGCATTTGCGTATTCTTTGTGACTGCGAAAAAGAAACCCGCAGTCGGCGTGAAAAAAGTACAAAAAGTATGTACAAGCGTTTATGTTGTTCCACTTGGTTACTATGAACCGTACAGCTCAAAAGAACAGGAGGAAAAAGAGGCGGAAGATGTCAATGCACAATGTGATTCTTCTTGTACGAGCAGTTCTAGAAAATAGGCTTCGCTTTTGCTGATGCTGAAGCTATTTTTTACTATAACTAAAAAAGGTGATAATTGCGGCTGAGTCTTCTTTCTCTTGTATGCTATGGTATCTAAAGCAGGCTGTGTAATCTTCAAACCTTACATTCATCCACCTTCTCATCTTTGATGGTTTCAAAAAACTTTCTTGGTAGGGAAGACGTTAATATTTACTGTTGTTAACTACTTATGAAATTTGTGTAAAACTTTATTCAAGGTTCAGGTATGCTTCTATTGTTTATCAGACATTGAATCAGCTACAGCATAGTGCGTAATTCAGAAACAAGAGTTCCTTTTTTTCGCGTTCTTTGTTCCTAACAATTTTTAAAACCTTTTCCAGAGATTGAAATGGAGACACATACTGATGGTAACCGCTCGTAAAGCTCGTATTAAGCACTGCCCAAGGTTGACAATTCATCACAATAAAGTGTCTTGCTGACAGTTCAACTAATTAAATCAGCGAGATTAGAAAATGAGTTTAACAATTTACCACAGCGCTTCCTAAACAAACTAGTCGTGTTCTTTTAATCTGTACTTACGTTCAGTATCAGAGGTTTTAATTGTTTTCAAATTGAAAAAATGCTGGATTCTTCTGTGAGCCGCAGAATATTATTATGAGTTTTTTGCTTCTATTTGTAATTTTAAAAGAATCAAAGCGAAGAATAGAAATGCCAAAAAATGCCTGATGATTAAGAAGCTATTTTAATAGTCCAGTTTAGTGATACTGAATGTTGATGTTATACTGCTCGTAAATGTCATTTATTTCTTTTTTTTTTTTTTTTTGCCTTAC